CGCACTCTAACTGCTATTCCAAGCTTGGCGCGCATGGGCGCGCACTCTTATTGCTATTCCAAGCTTGGGCGCGCATGGGCGCGCACTCTAACTGCTATTCCTAGCTCGGGCGCGCATGGGCGCGCACTCTTACTGCAATTCCAAGCTTGGGCGCACACGGGCACATACTCTTACTGCTATTCCAAGCTTGGGCGCGCACGGGTGCGCACTCTAACTGCAATACGAAGCTCGGGCGCGCATGGGCGCGCACTCTTACTGCTATTCCAAGCTTGGGCGCGCACGGGCGCGCACTCTAACTGTGATACCAAGCTCGGGCGAGCATGGGCGCGCACCCAAAAATAATATCTGGTCTGGGCGCGCGCGGGCGCGCATTTAAAAAATATATCTCAATCTGATGGTCAAAAATTCAATCTTTGCTTGGGACCAATATACTACTGCTTATAACAGGATGGAGTGATTACTGCGCGCAAAACTTGGCCTTCTCTTAGGGCAGACCATGACTGTAGACTAAATACTCAGTTGAAATGGACACCGGCGCTCCTGGTTCGAAATTGGTCATGGATGACCATCACTCATGGTGCGCAACAGCGCACAGTTGCGAACAGCAAAAAATGGCCCTCAGTCATGGTGCGCAACAACGCACAGTTGCGAATAGCAAAATGGTTCTCAGTCATAGTGCGCAACAGTGCACAGTTGCGAATAGCCAAAATGGTTCTCAGTCACGGTGCGCAACGGCGCACAGATGCAAATAGCAAATGATTCTCAGTCATGGTGCGTAACAGCGCACAGATGCGAATAGCAAAATGGCCCTTGCGAATTGCACAATGACTCTTGCGAATAGCACTATGTTCAGAAAATGGCTCTTGCGAATAGCACAGTGTTCTGAAATGGCTCTTGCGAATAGCACTATGTTCAGAAATGGCTCTTGCGAATGGCTCTTGAGAATAGCTCAATGCTAAAAAATGACCCTTGCGAATAGCACAATGCTCAGAAATGGCTCTTCCGAATAGCACAATGCTCAGAAATGGCCCTTGCGAATCGCACAATGCTCAGAAATGGCCCTTGTGAATAGCACAATGCTCAGGAATGGTATGGTGCGTTCTCTGCACAGTTGCGGAAATACTCAGATATGGTTCTCAGGTACGGTGCGCTCTCTGCGCACAATTGCAAAATACTCAAGTATGGCCCTTGAGTACGATGCACACCTCTCACAGTGACCAGCTGCGAAATACTCAGATGTGGCCCTCAAGCATGGTGCGAACAGCTCACAGCATAGTGCGAACAACGCATAGTTCAGATATGGCCCTTAGATATGGCCCTCAAGCATGGTGCGAACAGCGCACAACATAGTGCGAACGGCGCACAGTTCAAATATGGCCCTCAGATATGGGCCTCAAGCATGGTGCGAACAGCGCACAACATAGTGCGAAAGGCGCACAGTTCAGATATGGCCCTCAAGTATGGCCCTCAAGCATGGTGCGAACAGCGCACAACATAGTGCGAACGGCGCACAGTTCAGATAAGGCCCTCAGATATGGCCCTCATGCATGGTGCAGGCAAACTCACAAAATCGGCTTGATGACCGAGCAGGCACGTTCTCAAGATTGGTTTGTTTCTCAGTATGACTGCGCAGGCAGCCTCAAAACCAACTTGGCACTTGACGTGACCGCGCAGGCAGTCTCAAAATCAACTAGGCATTTGATGTGACTGCACAGGCGGTCTCAAAATCGACTTAATTACTCAAAAGTGGCCGCGCAGGCAGTCTCAAAATCGGTACAGCACCTGCATTTATCAGAAAGCGCAGTGTCGCACTTGGACTAAAGTGCGCACAGTCGCAGTTCCCGAGATCATCAGAGGCAAAGTTTTGAAATGTCGTATCTGGCGGGTTCGACGCGCAGTGTCACAATCCAATTGCGCACAGTCGCAGTCCTTCACAATCACTTTGGTAGGGCTTTGCAGATGTGAAATCACACTTTGCGCAGTGTCGCACGTAGATGCGCACAGTCGCAGGGACATGCTCTAATTAAGGCGCAGCAAATTGGCATACTTCAATTGAGTGCCTCCTGGCGCAACCAATAAAAAATCGGGTGCCCTCTTGGCACAATAAAGACAGTGAATCAGCATACTTATTTTGAGTACCGCGGCACAGCCAAGCAAGGGATTATAAAAACTCAGTTCCAATGACCCGCGGCACAGCTAATCAGCGGACTCAATTTGATTGCTCGTCGACGCTCGTCTCAAAGCCAACTCTCAGATACAGCATTTGAGCGCACGACTCATAACCGGTCATCAGGTGCAATGCTCTTCAACGTTCAGTTCAGGGTCAACCCTCAGATACAGCGCGTGAGCGCATGATTCATGACCAATCAATAGAGCTCATGCATAGTGCGCACAGATCAGATACGGCACGTATATAGCCCATGGAGGCGATTGAAAAGGAGAGGGAAAGAGAAGAGAGAGAGAAGAGAAAGAAGAGAAGATGAGAGAAGGAGAAAGGGTGAGAAAGGGAAAGTGAGGAACCAATCTTACCCCTCCCTTTCCTTCCCTTGCTTGCCTCCTGCTCGATTCTCTTGCCTCCTGCTCGATTCTCTTGCCTCCTGCTCCACGCTCCCCTCGTGCTCCTGCTGGCACGTCGCTATTCTTTGACTCATGCCTTCCGCTCCTTGTCGTTCCGCCAAGGCTGCAGTGCTCCCTTAAGCGAGGGTTCTCTCGTCGTCTGATGCGCCACTTGCGTCTCACGCATGTTGATCTGTCTCTCTTGGGTGACGTGGCCTCTCTTTTATAATGGAGAGGCCAAGGGATCGTGGCTGAGTGCTGCAGTCCCAAGGTCGGGGCTGTGGTCAAACTCTAGACCGGGCCTGTGCTAAACATAGCAGCAGTCCCGACCTCGGGATATGAACAGTCAGTCCTATTTTTAGAACGGGACTGGCACAGGCCCAGTTCCCGGTAGATGAAGAGTCAGTCCCACGCTAAAAATAGCGTGGGGCTGTGTTATTCTTAGAACGGGACTGGCACAGGCCCGACTTTGGGAAACGAACAGTCAGTCCCGTGCTAAAAATAGCACATGACCCTATTTTAATTATTCGGGCCTGGCTGTTCATCTATATGGCTACTTACGGCTATTCCTTTCCTGGCCGGGTTACGCGGTCGTATCGGTCCAGTCCCAACCGGTCAAACTTGAATATCTCGCTAACCCTTGGTCCGTTTCAAGTGCCGTTTGAACCGGACCCCACTAATTGGCCGATTGCGGTCGCGTCGGTCCAGTCCAACGGGGACGATTCAGGTCTTCGGAGGACCGTACTGCCGCGCCGTCTTTCCCTTGATTTCGGCTCAGGGGAAATCCATCCGACGCGCTAGGGTCCAGTTTGACCATGACTGGACGTCCCTAGGGGCAATTTAGACGCATCGCGGGGTTGACTGCGGTGAGTCATTTTTCGCTGCTGCGCCGCATCGTCTTCCGACAACGTGCCTAAAGAGACGCTAACACAAGCAGTCTCTGGACAACTATCTAGGCACGGGCCTGCAACTTCTGCCATGGGCTCATGTTGGTTGGGAGTGTTCCGTTCGCGCGCGCTCACTTCTCCACATGGCCTTGAAGTAAGGGCAGTTGCGACCCCTACTGGCGGCTGCCTTTTGACTGCTGGGCAAATTTTATGACGTGGGCCGGGTCACCACAAAATATGCACTGACCCCGGTCCACGCGTTCCTGCCATACACGCTGGTCCAAGCCCAAATCCTCCCAAGGCCTGCCCTGTGGCAAGCCAGGGTGCCAACCTCCTTAAGGTGCCCTCCCACCTCTTCGCTGTGGGAACCGATTTAAACCCTGGCGATTTGGCGGGGGACCTTGACCCCTACCTCCCGCTTAGCGGTTTCCTTGGCCGCCAACCCCCTGTGCGCCCGGTCCTCGGCCTCCCATGGCCTGGCCCCTTTGGCCCTGGCCTCCTCCTCTACCTTGCGGCCTCCCTCTAGACGCCACAGCAGCATAAGACCTCCCCTGTCCCACACCACTGTCCTCTTCCCCTAGGCCCCACTCAATCTGTTCATATGGGACCTCGTCCGTACCACCTTCCTCTAATGTTAGGATCAAATGATCCTTGGCCTTAACTTGGCATGACATGGTGCGGTCCTTCCACTTTTTCCCCTTCTCCAAGTCTTTGTGCCAGAAAGTGGTAACTGGCATAGACTTCGACTCATACAGGACGACTTCTCTACTCAATGCATCGTAAGTGATGCCGGCCTGTTGAGATTTGTCAAAGAAATGCCCGCGTAGGGCCTCTGGCATGGCATGATAAAACAACTGGACCAACTGGGGCTCAGTGACCCCATGGTCCGGGACGGCTACCAAGTCGTCCATTGTACCCTTGAGTGCCTTGGCACTCCTCCACTGCCGTGAGTGGATTGTCTGCAACTTGTCTGAGGCTCTAACGCCTCGCGTTGGGTCAGCAAATCGCTCCTTGAGGAGCTTGAGGAATTGAGGAAGGGGGGTGACTTTGGAATATGCGACCAGGTTGTTTTCGCAACCGGCCGCACGCGCAAGAGATCTAGCAAAGCTAGCTGCTTCGTCCTTGAGGGCCTGGAAGGCCACGAGGACTTGCTCTTCTGTCAGGATGTGCTGCAAATAGATATAGTTGTTGACACTGGCCTCCTTGTTGTCAAAGATCTCCTCCTTCTTACCCCCGTACGCATCTGGGAACTTGAGCTTTACAGGCTCTTTACAGGGTCTACCTTCGCCCTCTACAGCAGCTATGGCCTTGGGGCCCTCAATGGCGCCTTCGCAGTATTTTCCTACATTCTCTCTCAGTTGCCTGACTTCGCCCCCAATGTGGGTGACGATCTCGCGCGCAAACTCTCTGAAACCTGACCGCATGGCCTTCAGGGTGATGTCCTGACCCTGATTGGCGTGCCGTTCCTCTAACCAGGCCTCACTCAAGACTTCCAAGTACCCCAATACCTTATCCATCTTGGCAGAAACATCTGCCTGTGCCTGGACTTCCTGTCTACACGTCCGCACCTTTTCTACCTCTGCGGTCAACCGGTTAGCTTCCTCCCTTCTCCTTTTCTGCTCCCTCTTCATCCTCAACTTCCACTCCAGTCTCTTCTCCTCCTCAGCCTCTTGACGTTGAAGGGGGTCCTTAATGACTTCAAGGGCCCTGGCAAACGCCTCCTTCTCTTCCTGTGGCACATACATCTGTGCCTCCTCATCTTCGCCTAACGATAAGTTAGCAACCCACTCAGTTATCTTCCTCTCAATCTCTGCATCTGTGTCCTTCTGCATCGTGCCACCGCTGCTTCCTTCCCCACTCTCAATTCTCATCCTCTGCTTCTCTTCTTCTGCTGCCGCTTCTTCTTCAGCAGCCTTCTTCTTTCTCTCCATCTCCTCCTTGATCTCTTTCATTTTCGCCGCCTGTTCATCTGCAATCGCCTTTAACTTCGCCTGCTTTTCACGCTCTTTTCTCTCCTTATTTTCTCTCACTAAGGCGGCCATTTTCTCTTGCTGCTCAGCAGTATAGGGGGTCGTAATCGTCCCTTTACGGGTCTCAACCATGGTGATAGATGCACAATCAGAATGATTCCACTCCTCACCACGTAGACTTTAACCCCTGACTGACAGACCTACTGACTCACTCTAAGACTCACAGAATCCTGACAGGGATCCTGCCAACTAGGATCTCTAGCCTAGACCTAAGCTATGGCTGTCACTACTGAACCAGTGGCTGATCAGGAGGCATTTAAGGAGATCCCCTGTAACTCCGCAAGAATTCTTTAACGTCGCGGACAGGACGACGTGATCAGCTTGGTTCTGCCTGTGCTTTCAGCTCACAACTCAGCCTTTCCGGTCTACTGTGCCACACCGAGCAGCCCGCCGGTCTGTACCGGTCCTTGGGAGGGTTCGTATCCCCCGGGACAGTCGAGTCGTCAGACACAGATCATCAGCCTTACTTGGTCTGGTAGGGGAGTGGTTCCAACAGGCCCTCAACACTTAAAGACTGTCTGGTGTGTCAACCCTAGCTGCCGTTCAGGCCCACTGAGTCCTACCAACCGTTTCCAGCCGGTCAGCACCGGTCCTTGGGAGGGTTATGCCCCCCTGGAAAGTTGGATCAGCCACAGTCTTAGCCCTACAAGGTCAGACAAGGGTTTCGTTATCCAAGCCCTATCCTTCATCCACAAAGTGCTATCACCTGGGACAGAAGAGACTCAATGCAGAAAGAATAGACAGACGGACTTGACTCAGCAAGTACCAAGGGGTGTGTGCACATCTATAGGGCGAGGGGTAGGCTGAAGGCTTGGCGAGATATTACCAACTCCAGCTTGGTCAAAGTCTTGGTCAACGGTCTTGGTCAACGCCGGTCAACGTTGTGGTCAACCCCTGGTCAACCCCCGGTCAACTCCGGTCAACGTCGGTCAACGCCTCTGGTCAACCCTCCGGTCAGCTATGGCTGCCGGCTCTTCTTCCTCGCCAACCCTCTTCTTCTTCACCTTCCTCGCCTCCTTTCACCCCGCTGTCTTCTTCTTCTCTTTCTTTTTTTTTTTTTTGATCGGCCTCCTCTTCACCTCTGGGCTATGGCCGCTCCTTCTTCCTCCTCGGTCTCTCCCGCTCTGTCCTTCTCCCTCCTACTTCGTCACTCCCTGGTACAGGCTGCGCGGCTATGGCCGCTGTCTTCTCCTTCGTGGGCTGCGCAGCAACTTCACAGGTATGTAACAGCCAATCTTGGATCGCTCATCTCTCTCTCTCTCTCTCTCTCTCTCTCTCTCTCTCTCTCTCTCTCTCTCTCTCTCTCTCTCTCTCCCGCCGTAGCGGTATCTTCAGCGCAGCAGGTACATAGTATCCCAATCTTGTATCGCTCACTCTCTCTCTCTCTCTCTCTCTCTCTCTCTCTCTCTCTCTCTCTCTCTCTCTCTCGGTCTTCTTCTTCGTCGTGGTCTTCTTGCAGGTGCGCGGCGGCTTCTTCTTCCTCAGGTCCGCTATGACGGACTGTCACCTTCGGCGGCCACCTCGGCTATGGCGCATCAGGTCCTGCACACGACGGCGCGCATGGAATAGCGGGTACCAGCTCCGATACCAATGCAATCAGACTCGTCTTATTCACACTTTTCATGTATGTAAACAGCAACACAGCACACTGGCGACATGTGCCCACTCAGAACTCAGAGATATGACTTCCAGGTACGAGTTCACTTTCAACTAGCTATGGCGACTGAGCGCCCAAACAACTCACTGTTCACACACT